ATAGAATTACGCGGAATTATCACGTGTCGGGATCGTCGGCACGCTGCCGGCTGTATCGATTAAACCGTAACGAATATCGGAACTCTCTCGGTACGAGAGATTCGTTCTTAGGTATTTAAAAGAAAAAAACCGTTTACGTCAACGAATGTTACGTATTAATATAAAACTTGTAATATTGGAATTTTATGAGATTAATATTAAACAATTTACGAGAGGGGGAAACCTATTGCTCGAAAGGAAGAGTTTCTTAGAGAATCGTTTGTATCCAGAGCGAACCTCCCATTAGTATCTCGAAAATATTTCGTGCGCTATGCGCCTGATTGTGAAATAACTTTGCTGTGATACGGTCTACGTTGGTTAGTTATAGACTTATTTGATATGCCTCTTGATAAAAGAAAGAGGCACAGGCGATAGTATCTGCACCGTTATTTGCCCAGTCTTATCTTGCGAAACGGCGCGCCGGCATTTGTGGACTGTAATTTCGTATGGCTCCACGGCGATCAATTTTAATGTTTAATCAGTATCTGGCTCACGTGCCTTTCATTTATATCACGAAATATTTACTTAAATTATCCGAACCGCGGTGCTTTAACACACCCTCGCGTGCGTTAGTTCTGCCCTGGGATAACCCCTCGTTGCACCAAGCCCGCAGTCCGCACTTTCGATCCGTGATTCAATTTTGTTTCACTTTGTTCACTACACACACGTTACGTGTCTTTGCTCGCGCCTGACCCGAAATTAATTTAGCGCAAACACTCCCTCCCTCTGATTCGGCAATGTCGCCTACCCTATCGCCTATCGCCTATCGTGCATGGTGCCTCGAAAATTGGCTTACTCATAGTATCGTTCGCGGTAAAAATCGAACGAGGAACTTATTCACGGGATCGATTCATCGACAGGGAGAAGTCACGTTTATTGGAGGATGCTTACGTTAACGTAAATGAGACGAGGAACTTGTAATTTTTGCATTAAGGAAAAGAGCGTATCTTAAGAAATTAAAATAAAGTACTAATTATTTATATAGGCCCGGGCTAAACTTTTCTCTGATAAGATCAATTTCCTGTTGCGTATTTCTCGCGAATCTCCGACAGCGCGGCACGTGACATGAATTATTGAAAGCTTCGCGGAAAGTTATTCCGCCGGCCTTAGGGCGAGCGAGGTCCGACACACGTATCAGGGATACGCGGGTTGTTTTCCCAGAGGGAAAAGGGTTTTCGAGAAAGTGGCGTAATGGTAAGGAGAGCGCGGCGGAATAGGCGTACTATCGATTCCGCGTGTAATAAGAGTAACAATTTGCTGAATGCGGGAAGATTGTGTAAGTGCGCTCGCACCTGCCGGTACGGATATGCTCTTGCCGCGAGGCGGACGAGAAATTGGCGCAGGCGTTACCCCGAGGCGAGGCTCCCTTTAACCCGCGTGCAATTCCCATGCAGCCATGTACGCATCCGGTGCATGCGAGACCGCTCTTGGGCGCGTTCTTGCGAGACTTTCATTGCACGTATAATTGCGTAATTCGTCCTTGGATAACTGTGAACTAATCTCTCTCTTTTTCTTCCCTCTCTTTCTTTTTCTACTTTTGCTCCGAGAGATTTCGCATAACGTTTTATTCGAGAATGTTGTCCGTAGAACCTATAACAATATATGTCTGCTTTTATTTAATAACTGTTCATTTCTTGCACCGAAAGTACATAATGAGCAAATTAGATTGCTGTTAGGATTGTGTGAAATATTGTTGTACGCGTCTGATGATTATAACATTTTTAACGTTTATATTTTAAGTAAACTATTTCTCGCATTTTAATTTCATCCTACATATTTTTTGGAGTAATATAATTAATATAATTATATTATTAAAAATTTATATAAGTCGTGATGGCGCTTAACGTGTCTTGTGAATAACGAAATTATTATAAAATAAATGACAGAATATCAAGAGTGGCGTTTAATTGATATACAATTAGATAAAATTTATGACATATAAATATTTATATTACATTTTCGTACATATCTTTTCATTTATTTTTCATCAGATTCATCTTGTAATTAAGAGAAATTGCGACGGTTTTTCCGCACGAAGATAAACTATTCCGACACATCCCGTTTAAGCGGCTTGTTAAATTTGTGCTCAGAACATTTGCCATGCGCGTTGGTCTTTCCGCAGTTAGCGTGAAAACATAATCAGGGAAATGTTTCGCATCTGTGTTATTACACGACATAATGTCGCATTTGTAATGCAACTAAAGCAAGATACACGAAAACGAGAAAAAGAAAACAAGAGGGAATGAAGTTGGACGATATTATTACGAGAAGAAGCAAAGCGAGTGAGATTCACTTGAGGCATCTCGCGCTGCTACTTAACGTAAGTAGTACGGTCAGAAATAGGTCAGGCATCGACGCGTGCATTAGAAAGGCGCATGGTCTTTGCGCATTTCCGGGTACGTCGTAGGTCTTAAGGTGTTTACCGAAAGTCTCTATTTCACTTGTTTTCGCAATGACAAAGCGACTGATTGTGAGTTGCAAAACTAAAAAAAAAGTTTCACGCTCATCACGCGTCTTCAATATAAAAGTTTTCTCAGCGATATGCGACAGTTCTGCGTTATCGTTACTTTGGATGATACTTTCTTGCGCTAAAAGATACTTCTTTGTGCTATGTCAGACATAAGTATCTGAAACGCCGTTCGTGATCGCTCGTGTGCAGGGACGTGCGATCCGGGCACGATAAACGCTATCGTATAATCGAAATGACGCCGGCAGGAAGCACCTCGTAAACGTATCTTCGCATATGCAAGTCAGTATTAATGGTAACTTCGTGGACTTCGGCCTGACGAAATTATCGATTTGTCACTTTGATAAAACGACAGGATATATGAATTAGATATCGTGCACGTGCACATTATCGCACAAAATTTGAAATAAACATTTATTGCTATAGGAGAATCAATTGCAGGTTCTCGTTGTAATTCTCAACGTTACTAAAACTATGATCGCAAACTGTGGAATTCTCTACAAATATTTTTTTCGTATGCATCGAGTGTCGCGTCAAAACAGTCTGAATATAAAACGTGCAATGAATGATGGAATGTTCTGCTGAGAAAACAGGTCTTCCACAAATGAAATATTCAAATTAGTCGTATTGGACGACGTTGCCCTAAAATATCCGTCAGAGGAAAACGTTACGGTCGAAACTTAGACGAGGTTACGAGACTAATAAACTTTTTATTGCCTCGTGACGAAACCCATCTGTTTTATTTCACTGAAAATCGAGTCGAAATTGTTGCTTTAATAAAAAATATGATTAAAGTCAGAAAGATATCGGAACAGCTAAAATGTCATCTGTCAAGATGTGAGATTAATTCGACTATAGAATTTTGTTATTAAAGTTAACAATGTTTGCCGCCTACTTCCGTCAGCTACTTCCACTATTGTCTTTAACAATCTGATGATGCTTAATACAGTCATAGAGAGATAAATTCGCGAAATAACTCAAACATCTTCGATTTGTTCTCGATTCGACGATGATTCTAATATCGGGTTCAAGAGTTGCCGCGTGCAATGCTCGAGCTGATAATATCATCCGTCGAGCATGACAGTGACAGGCGTCACTATCGATTATGCACGATGCGAATAAGCCGCGCACGATTGTCGATCCGTCGCGCGCTCTCGCGAGCACATTCGCCGCGGCCGGATCGCGTATTCCATTTGTATTCGCGCTTGACAGCCAAAATTCACACGTACTCTCACCTTCGTAAGAAATCTGATTTCACGTGACGACAGCGCATCAATTCTCCGCCGATCATAACACACGAGCACGATGGCAGATTTCGATACTTGTAAAATGGTTTCCTTCACGCTACAGGACCGGGGGACTTTCCTGTGACGTTCTCAGATATAAGTCATTTATCTCGAACGGGAGCTCGAGTTAATCCCGATAAACTCGTCGAGATCGACATATCGCGTTAATTTATATTCGCATCTCGTCCAGTTCTTCTTTGATGATGTTTCCTGATAAATTCCCGAATCGTAGCACGAAGCTGCTGGACGTCCTGCAGATCGTGCAGGTGAGACTGCAGGTATTTAATCGCGCAGTTACGCGAACGCGTGCCTGTCGGTCCCATTAAGGTGTACACTGTACAATCAGCGAGCATGTATGCCATGTTGCACGTCGTACACGCGAATAAACATGTGGCGCGTCAGATATTATAGACACGAGTCGGTAGTCCGTAACGGCCAATGCAACATGAACGCTGAAACGGAGAGTAGACGCCTATAAATATCGCTTGTGGAACCGAGAAGAGGAACGTCGGCGAGAAACGCCGAGATTGACAATAAAGAGAGAGAAAGGAGAGAGAGAGAGAGAGGGAGAGAGCGAGGGAGAGCGGACGAGGCGGGAGATCCGAGATAGCCCGAGAAAGTTTTCCAATTTGAAGCAATTAGTTTGCAGTACGGCGTTGGATGGCATGCATCCAGATAATCGAATATGGGTCAGCGTCTAAAGCGAGATGGGGTCGAGCTACGATCAGAGAGGCTGCGAGAGAGAAAGGGTGGGCGAGAGGGTGGGAGACGGAGCGCGAGTTTCCCGAGTGTGTGCACGTGCGACGGGATGGACCCGTCGCACTTCTGGTATGTCCGACGCGCATAAAACCACGTGGCACAATTCGAGAGCGCCCGCCTTAGAATTCTGCCGCGCGGTAATCGATTGACCGATCGTCCCCGATCTACAAATGCAATTGATCGATGCACCGGCCGGCGTCTTTGGACGTAGTGATAGAGCTCTAAAGTTTTCCGCCGTATACGTATGCTTGTGGGGTCTCGGGAACTGTTCGGGCGAAACGTGCGAGAAAGAAAATTGCAGCTATCGCAATCCAAACGTGCATTGCAACGTATTCGCGTTACTGTACAATTTAGAACAGTTTGTACGATACTGAGTTTAGAAGGTAGACGTGATTAATATTTAAAAAAACCAGATTTTTACTGATATTCTTTTATGTTTCTATTTACAGAATCCGAAGCCAGTTGGGAGGAATGGTGGACCTACGACGGTATTTCTGGTGAGTTTTTCTTTTTTCGTCGTTAGAGAAGATAAAAGTCTTGCAAGTGTCAATTAATGTCAGACACTCGTTGAATTTATCTCTACTTAAATTGAGAATAATGATACCTAAATATATAAAGCGCATGCTAATTTTGTTCATTATTATTATTATGTAACATACTTGGCATTACGTATTAGTTATTTACCGTCGAGAAACATTTGCTGGGCTTGTCATGTGGCATTTTTTCGCTCTATTGCAGCTTTTATACGTGTGTCGCCCGTAATTTCCGCGGTCTTCACTTTTTTTGATATTTCCGGCTGTCGCGCGGCATGATAGACAAAGTAGGAAACTTAACCGGCCCGTTCCAGCAAGTTTGTTCATTTTGCACAAAATTCTCGCAACTTCACTACCGAATACCAAGGTTTGCGCGACGTTAATAGCAGAATTAATGTTATTCCGAGGACGTGGCGCAAAGTATATCACACAATTAAAATAAATTTTATAATGCAATATTCTCTACAAACATACGATAAATTAATCTGTCGGACTGAGTCTACATTTTCTTGTTACAATAAGGTGAGATCAACTTATCGTTAAAATTCAATTTATAAAAACGCGTTTGAAAGTTTGCGGCGTATCGATGCAGGTGCATCATTCGCTAAGTGATTTCTATTAAATTCCTGAGAACAGGATATAAACGTTTCGCGAGCTCAACCGGTCGTGCGGCTTCCTAATTTTCTTAATTTTAAGTTACGAGGCCATCGAGTGCCTCCGGGCGCCGGTGAATTTTTTAATCTCGCACCATACCCTTCCCCTTCTCGTCGTAGTTTTTATTAAAAATAAGGCGAGCGCGCCGATAAGACTGCACCACGTCGGTCCTGGGTCTTAAGTTTAGTGTTGTTCCACCATGCGAGCCAGCTGCCACACGAAAAACAGTGCCGTATACTCGGGCGTTCGCATAAAACGCCAAAAATTTCAGCTGCACACTCCAGTCGTCCGGTCGTCCTCCCCCGCGCGTTTCCTTCGATCGCGCCAACCGACCCTACGAATTTCACTTCAGCCTGTTGATGTCGGGAGGAAGTTGTTGATCTCATTTCGGAATTTACGAGCGCCACAGAATTTCGCCATCGATTAGCCCGAGTGCTGCAACGAAATTAAGCCCGCTCCGCGAAGTGCCAGTAATATTATTATCACAAGCGATATTCTTGCGACGGCAAATACGAAACTTGTCGCGTCATTTTTTCTGCTAGTTCGGTCTTTGTGCTTCGACTTCCATAACGCGAATTTGAAAACAATTATCGCTTAAGGCGAGAAACACGAGAATCTCTTTTCAATAAAATGAAAGAATAATGTATCTTTTATTATCAGATATTACGACTAACAGCAAGTACAAAACGTTATTCATTAATTTACTATTAATAACTATATAAATTATAGTGTTTAACCTCGCATATTTTATCTTAACATTTTTGCAATTTAATTGCTTCAGAAAGAGACGTTTGTGTCAGATACATATATATAAGATATCGTTAGTATTGTATTTTATCATTTTTAATATTATTTTACAATTGATCGCACAGCGCATCGCGTTACATGAAATTTTTCAATGGAATAGCTCGCACTTTAGATACACTTACTATGCCATTGAATCGGCTAGGTGACTTATTACCGTGATCGATAGCAAGAGTCGATTTTTAGGGTTCGCTGGTATCTCATATCGTGGACAGATGGGGGTTCTCGTTTTACAACCCCTCGGTCGTGCACTTTGAATATTACGTACTCCTCTTTTTCCGGATTTATATAGAGTTTCCTTTCCCTTTCCTTCGAGGTTTACACCGTGTTCTCTTTCATTTACGAAATCTTTGATAAATTTGGAGACGAGTTTTTCTCAGCGAAAATCTGATTACTCGCCGCTTTTTTTATTCAATTTTTTCGCGTTTGACACTATAACATCTTCCCAGATAACTTTTAGCTGAAAATACTGTCAAAGTACCGTTGAATTTAGCTTCGAGATAAGATTTCGTTTCTACCTACTAGCATCTCGGAAGTTTAATTTTACTTGAAGTTCATTACCACATAATTCAAAATTTTGTTAATGAAAAATTAACTGCAGATTGAAGACGAAACGTAATTATATTTACGTGATTTTCCTAATAGCTTTAACAGATGTGTTTCTTTAATGTTATGTAGTACATGTTTTATGCGAGTCTGAACGTGGAAGGCTGCCAATTTCACAAAGTCTGTGCGAGCGCAGCGTGCATGAACAATTGCGTTTCCGCGTGTATTTATGCGACAGCGGAATAATCTGGTTACATTACAACGCAGATTGCAAGTTGAGCACTTATGCTTTTTTCGACCTCAAAATGCACCGTGTCGCGGCAACCGCGTTCACTGCAGAACTGCTCTGATTTTATGAGCGACGTGCTGCAGTATATGATATATCTTTGATTTCGCCCTCGAGGGTTTTCGAGCAAACCAGTGGCTGAACTTTGCTACCGTTGTTATATTATAAATGTGAGACGAACGAAAAAAGAAGTTTTAAGATATATTGCTTCGATTATTCGCGAACATGCTGCGTGTTCCAGATTTACCGGCGCTCTTCTCAACTCTGGATACCGGAAAAAAAAACGTAAACTTAAAAGTAGCTAATTTAACCTGGCGCGGCGTCTTCTACAAAATTAAATCGCTGACATTTAAAATTTCACCGATACTTTCATTTCCGCATTGAATTATTGTAAATAAGCAAAAATATCTTAATCCTCTAATTATATATTCCGAAGCTTTCGTTCCCATGATGAATGTTAATTCATTATGTACCATGCATTCAAACTGCGTTCGCATCGGTTTTAGAAGATTAAACGGTCACCGCTCTCAAGGGCGGGATATTTCATAATACGAGGAATACTCGCGACCACATGGAAACAAGTCACGGGGATTATTAGAGTCGCGAATTGCGGCAGAGTCAATGTGAATCATCGGACGAATAAAAATGTGCCCGGCGAGATGGCTTGCGAGAAAATCTCCGCGAATGCGGAACTTTTCCAGGGCGACGGGATTAAGCTCGGCGCGCACTTCGGTCCTTTCCTTTACTCCGCCACGCAACTGGTAGTAGCATTGGCACAGCACCCCGTTACTCGACGAACAGTTTCTTAAGCCCGAAAGGAGAGAAGCACTACGAAGCTGAAGATGAAATTTCCGCGGTGCGGCGAGAATATGTCTTTCCAGCTAAAGACGCTGAAAAATGTAACGCGTTTCTCGAGGATTCGTATACGCCTCCAGCCACGCGTTGCATTTCTAGTAGAAACTGCATCACAAACCGTTGTAAAAAAAAGCTATTTTAAATTTAAATGCAATAGACACAAAAACGAGCTCATGATAATAACGAAAACATGAACATTTATGCGAGGCATGGAAAATTTTGAATTTACTATTTTCAAAATTAGCTGGTGATGTTTGTATTATTTTTAGAATACGCTTTAAGATGCACGTACGTTGATAAAAATCGTATAGAATATATGAGAGCTTGATGAACTTAATTTTAGCGAGTTGGAAAAAGAATTGATTTTTTCAGCAGAAATTGTAAATAGCCTATTTCCTTGTCGTCCAAATATTTACTTGAATGAATGGCCTTTTCAAACTCTGTACGTACCTGGGCCAGGTTTGCCTGCTAAGTTTTCGGTAGCAACTGAGAGTGCCCGACTACCTGGATATTTGCACATCCGCGTTAAATCACTAACACTAATGTATTTATGAGGGAGAAGTTAGACGAATCTCCATGCAATACGATAATTGAAATTACCGCGCAAACCAGTTTACCGGCGGGAATTGCGGGCTCCTGCGTTCTAAATATTCGAAAGCCTCACGATATTTGCGCAGCTACGTAGAGAGTGCTGCCTAGGCACTGCGACAACTGAGAAAATAAGTAATTCCTTGTTGCGGAATAAGTCACCTCGCGGCTATAAATGCATGTTTTTCCATCGCGGATTTTAACGCTCTCTCTCTCTCGTCGGGAGTAGACAAGAATATTACTATAACAGTATTGCGTGAACATAATTATTTTCTACTCTTACTGTGTTATTTTTATATTATTGAAAGATGTAATTTATATTTCAACATTTTTTCTCTCTTCACTTCTACGGGCAGCTTGACAACAAAACTAGAAATTTCTTGAACTCTGCATTCGATACGGTCCTTTACCCAAATTGCGGAGTTGTCCGCTGTTCAACAAGCGTGAAATGGCCGGACCCGGCGTTTGGATCCAAACGTGAACAAGGCGGACGGAAATATCGAAATACGAAAGCAAACGCCGAGGCAATTTTACAAATGGTTGCACGAATACTGAATGTTTTCTAACAGCTGAACGGAGAACATTGTGTAGCTTCACGTAGCTAAAATAATATATATATACGTGAAAAAGACGCGAAACGCGCGCGTCAAGATCTTTTTCGAAATCTTTCAAAGAAGAAATTATTACTATATTTGCGTAAATAATATAAATATAGGAAAATTTACTGTTTGATACGATGATAAAATATTGGAAATAAAATTTCCTTTAATGAAGCAAGAAAAGTCAATATTTACAAAAAACTATCTTTGTTATATCTTTTATTTTTTTATATCAAGTTTAATTCAAGTTAACATCTCAAAATTTTAATATTAGCTAATTCTATAGTTATTTTGTCTTTTTTTTATACATATCAAAATTAGTGATATATTCTGATATTTTGTCTTCTACTATCTATAAGTAAGTTGAAATAAACATCTCTATAGGACATACTACATACTAAAACGGAAATCTTTGATGAAAATAACACTTCTGAATATTTGATACGAATTTTCCAAGCTCTTCTGAAATATTCACCGTGTGTCCTGTAGGTCATTTCTGCGGTATCTTTCGTACCGCGCATGAATATCTTGCGATGCTATCTTTAGAAAGTTAAACGAATATACCGTATGCATTCCGATTGCATACTAAATCGGAATTCTTAGTATATGTATTAAAAATATTAAAAATGTAT